GGGCGAACTGGAACAGCTTGGCCTACGTCTCCGAACCTCTGAATTAACGTGGGGGACTCTGGGAACAGGAGTACCTGGCCAGGCCCCCTCTGCTCTAGGGTGACGTGGGGCCCTCCCTGTGAAGATGGTAAGTTGAGAGCCTCCACTGCTGCGAGAACCCCCCTCCCCCCGAGCATCCACCCTCCCCGGCTCAGCGCCCCTCTGCTGCTGACACCTCTGCTGCTGTGGTCTCTGGGGGTGCGGGTGACAGAGACACCAGCCCAAGCCACTGGGGGGCGAGATGGGGTGATATGGACGGATGCTCGTTCCCACGGAGCCATCCCGACCTTGCTCCACAGGTGACCTCCCTCTAGCTCAGTGGTTCTCAACCTTCTGGCCCTTTAAATACAGTTCCTCATGTTGTGACCCAACCATAACATTATTTTCGTTGCTACTTCATAACTGTAATGTTGCTACTGTTATGAGTCGTCATGTAAATATCTGATATGCAGGATGGTCTTAGGTGACCCCTGTGAAAGGGTCGTTCGACCGCCAAAGAGGTCGCGACCCACAGGTTGAGAACCGCTGCTCTAGCTCCTCATTCCTCTCCCGGATCCCGGGATGAGCTGCCCCACATCCCAGATCTCAAAGCTCCCAGAAGAGCGGTTCTCAAAGTAGGTTCCTCAGCATCAGCACCACCTGAACTCGTTAGAAATGCGAATTCTTGAGCTGGAGCCTAGACCTCCTAATCCAGGATCTCGGCCGGTGGGCCCGGCCTCTGTAACAAGCTCTCCAGGTGATGCTCATACAGGTGAGAGTGAAATCCTTCGAGAATTTCAACCTCTCCCTCCTCCACCCCAAGTCAGAGAATTCCTCTGCCTCCCTGACAATGACAATAGCAACACCTGACAGCTTCCAGGAACCTTCCACCTCCATCTGCACACCGCAGAGTGCCATCTCTCTGAGGAAGAGTGCGGCCCAATTTACAGATGGGGAAACTGAGGCCCAGGGCCTGGCCCGCTGCCACATAGCGAAGATGTGGGCTCCTCATTCCAAGGTGAGGGCTCTCTCCGGACACCTTGAGTTTCTGGGGCTCCTTAAACCAGAGGAACTAGCACATGTCCGTCCATCAGCAGGAAGGAACCCCCCTCCAGCTCTCTCTCCCCAATTTCCAGTTGCAATCCCAGGAGACAGCATCCAGGAAGCATAAATTCTGCCTGGTGGCTGAGTAAGAGCGCTGAGAGGAGTCACACGTCAGGGAGATGGGACTTTATTTCTCAATGAAATAGCCTTTTTATGGTTGGAATAAAAGTGCCAGCGGGAGCCTAATGCCAGGAAGTAGAGAACACATTTGATAAACTCCTTCAGCCAGGGGCGGGGCTGCCTTGGAGGGGGCTGCTCTGGTCTCTGGGGGTGCGGGCTGCCGGAGA